TCTATTTTCCCCAAACTCCACCAACGTTCACATTTGGACATATTGATTCTTCATGTAGAGTTTGGTCCAGACCCATCATTGTTTGAGTCCACAGTGAGCTCTGGATGTAGGTGAACTACAACTCCAAAACCAAAGGACACTGCCCACCAAACCCAGTATTTTCTGTTGGTCATGGGAGAAATGTGTGCCAAGTTTGGCCAATTCTATCGTTGGTGGAGTTCAGAATGCTCTTTGATTGTAGGTGAACTATAAATCCAAGCAACTACAACTCCCAAATGACAAAATCATTTCTTTTTTGAGTGAAGGACATACATTGGGTTGTTAGGCTGATGACCATCACTCATAAATACATCACTTTATCTCTCCTACAAAGTGGCTTAACATAAAGATATTACTGGGTTGTTGTAGGTTTTTTCGGGCTATATGGCCATGTTCTAGAGGCATTCTCTCCTGATGTTTCGCCTGCATCTATGGCAAGCATGATGCTGATGCTTGCCATAGATGCAGGCGAAACGTCAGGAGAGAATGCCTCTAGAACATGGCCATATAGCCTGAAAAAACCTACAACAACCCAGTGATTCCGGCCATGAAAGCCTTCGACAATACATAGACATATTAGCACATAATTAAAAATATATGAAATCATGGGAGTTGTAGTTTAGTGAGTCACCAGCTCCTTTTGGCAGAGAAGGCTAAAGGGCTAGTAGAACTAGATCTCCCAGTATCCCACATCAGTAGGGTCAAACTGTATTAATTCTACCATGTAGATGCACCTTTGTTTGCCACATCTGCCAAAATGGGTTGCAACTGTGCACACATTTACTCACAAGTGCATAGAGTTCTAGTAAATGCATTTAAGGATGAGAACTGAAAGCCTATCTTGCAAATTAACTACACTTATGGTACGAAGGGTTTTGCAAGGCAGTAAAGCACAATATTCTGTCCTGACGAAAAAATTGGAAAGTTTGCACTAAAGAGAAAGGCTCAACCATTTCAGGAAAATAGGACTGTTTTCAGGAAGCTCCGATAAGTCAGAAATTCCTGTTTTTCGCTGCAGGAAAGAAGGGAGGTCATTGCTGGGTTCCAGGTCTCGCAGCAGAACTTATTATTTTTAGGGACAGGTAAACAACAATTAGATGGAACCTTTCCTGAGAGAATTAGGAGGAGATGAAGGGGGAAATGCCCAACTATTTGGGTGGCATAATGATCTAAGAGTGGGCAACCTCAAGGTCGGAGCAATTGTGGATTTCAATGGGATTCACTATTATCTGCAGTTTCATGTTTCCTCTAGAACATTCCCTTTGCAAATGTATGGGTTATAATATATTGCCGCAAGTGAAGGCGTTTGCAATGTCTAAGGGACTCAAACATACCAAAACAAACTCCAACTAAGTGTTGGTGTGATTGTGCTTCAAGATCAAGGTGCTTTGGATGTGGGGAATGATGTCAATGAGGGTCAAGATGGCAATGGTTTGGTTAATGATATTAATGCAGAGAGTGACATAGAGACGTCAGTTCAAAGTGTAGTTTCTCATGAGAATGTTCCTACAGGGAATAGGGATGAGAGTTTACTCCCTGAATTGCTCCCAGAGAGTGCCCAGGATTTGGGGCTTGAAAACAACTCGGCACCTGCAGAAACTAATGAGTATATAGATAGTGTATAGAGCAATGAGAGACCTCATGGGCGATCCAGTCCAACCCCCTGCCAAGAAGCAGGAATATTGCATTCAAATCACCCCTGACAGATGGCCATCCAGCCTCTGTTTAAAAGCTTCCAAAGAAGGAGCCTCCACCCCACTCCGGGGCAGAAAGTTCCACTGCTGAACGGCTCTCACAGTCAGGAAGTTCTTCCTCATGTTCAGATGGAATCTCCTCTCTTGTAGTTTGAAGCCATTGTTTTGTGTCCTAGTCTCCAGGGAAGCAGAAAACAAGCTTGCTCCCTCCTCCCTGTGGCTTCCTCTCACATATTTATACATGGCTATCATATCTCCTCTCAGCCATCTCTTCTTCAGGCTAAACATGCCCAGCTCCTTAAGCCGCTCCTCATAGGGCTTGTTCTCCAGACCCTTGATCATTTTAGTCGCCCTCCTCTGGACACATTCCAGCTTGTCAATATCTCTCTTGAACTGTGGTGCCCAGAATTGGACACAATATTCCAGGTGTGGTCTAACCAAAGCAGAATAGAGGGGTAGCATTACTTCCCTAGATCTAGACACTATGCTCCTATTGATGCAGGCCAAAATCCCATTGGCTTTTTTTGCCGCCACATCACATTATTGGCTCATGTTTAACTTGTTGTCCACGAGGACTCCAAGATCTTTTTCACACGTACTGCTCTCGAGCCAGGCGTCCCCCATTCTGTATCTTTGCATTTTGTTTTTCCTGCCTAAGTGGAGTCTCTTGCATTCTGAACTCCACCAGTGATTTCCTCAAGAACATACCCTTTGCAAATGTATGAGTTATAATATATTGCCACAAGTGAAGGCGTTTGCAATGTCCAAGGGACTCAAACATACCAAAACAAACTCTAACTAAGTGTTGGTGTGATTGTGCTTCAAGATCAAGGTGCTTTGGATGTGGGGAATGATGTCAATGAGGGTCAAGATGGCAATGGTTTGGTTAATGATATTAATGCAGAGAGTGACATAGAGACGTCAGTTCAAAGTGTAGTTTCTCATGAGAATGTTCCTACAGGGAATAGGGATGAGAGTTTACTCCCTGAATTGCTCCCAGAGAGTGCCCAGGATTTGGGGCTTGAAAACAACTCAGCACCTGCAGGGACTAATGAGTATATAGACAGGAGGTTGGAAATTAGCCAAAACAGACAATTTGACCAAGGCCTTCAATGTTCTGCCACACTTCAACAGTCGACAGATAAGGATGAGATGCATTCAAGGAAAATGAAACAATTTCTGAGTGCTTGGAACGGCTTAACAGGGGGACATAAAGTTCCAAGCATGGGAAATATAGTCAGATGAAGCATCGTTTTAGAATCCTGCTAAGTTCTTGCTCTTCTCTCATGGAAGCCTTCCTCGGAAGATTCATATTTAAGGATTTCTTGTTTATGGTTAGACTCTTTGTCTCTTGTGATTATATATCAATGGTTTGGTCAATGATATTAATGCAGAGAAGGACATAGAGATGCCGGTTCAAAGTGTAGTTTCCCATGAGAATGTTCCTACAGGGTATAAGGATGAGAGTTTACTCCCTGAATTGCTCCCAGAGAGTGCCCAGGATTTGGGACTTGAAAACAACTTGGCACCTGCAGAAATTAATGAGTATATAGACAAGAAGTTGGAAATTAGCCAAAACAGACAGCTCAACCAAAGCCTTCAGCATTCTGCCACACTTCGACAGACAGGGGCGGCTCAACCCATTACGCAAAGTAAGCATTTGCAGTATAGTTGATTTTGCCCAGGGGCGCTCTTGGGGGAAAATAGACCTTGACATATGTAGTTACTGGGATGTATAGTTCACCGAAAATCAGAGCATTCTGAACTCCACCAGTGATGGAATTGAACCAAATATGGCACACAGAACTCCCATGACGAACAGAAAATATATATCAGTGATTGATTGGGAGGGGGGCACCAAAATACTGTTTGCTTACCGTTGAAAATTACCTAGGACCGCCCCTTCAACAGATAAGGATGCGATGCATTCAAGGAAAATGAAACCAATTTCTGAGTGCTTGGAATGACTTAACAGGGGAATATAAAGTTCCAAGCATGGGAAACATAGTCAGATGAAGCATCGTTTTAGAATCCTGCTAAGTTCTTGCTCTCTTCTCATGGAAGCCTTCCTTGGAAGATTCATATTTAAGAATTTTTTGTTTATGGTTAGACTCCTTGTCTCTTGTGATTATATATCAACCTTTTCCTGGTTCTTTGGATTTTATTAGCGAAGTCTGGACTTCGTTTTGAACTTTGCTGAACCATACCTTGGACTAATTTGTTCCTGCTTATCTTCTTACCTAATTGGGTTTACCTATTCCTTTAAAGTGCTTTTTTACTTTGCTGCTTGGACTTTATTTTGAACTTTGCTGAACTATACCTTGGACTAATTTGTTCCTGCTTATCTTCTGACCTAATTGGATTTACCTATTCCTTTAAAGTGCTTTTTTACTTTGCTGCTTGGACTTTGTTTTGAACTTTGCTGAACCATACCTTGGACTAATTTGTTCCTGCTTATCTTCTGACCTAATTGGGTTTACCTATTCCTTTAAAGTGCTTTTTTACTTTGCTGCTTGGACTTTGTTTTGAACTTTGCTGCACCATACCTTGGACTAATTTGTTCCTGCTTATCTTCTTACCTAATTGGATTTACCTATTCCTTTAAAGTGCTTTTTTACTTTGCTGCTTTTACTTATCTTCAAAAAGGATTGTTTTCCTACTCAACATGTGGTGTTTTTAAAACCAGAGGGTTATTCCTGTTCTGGAGTGCAACATAAAGTATGCATTTGCCCTTAGCTGATTTCTAGACCCAGCTCGTTCCATTCCAAACCCCAGCAAGAAAGGCAAAAAGCTGTGAGGTGGGACAAATAGCTGAGATGTGACTGAGGAATCCAGGGATTGCAGTTGTCGCTGTCATTCACAACCAGATATAATTAAAGCACTCCACAATTAGCAGGCCAAGGGGATTTCGAGCAGCTGCCTTTCTACCCTCGCTATTTTAGTTCTTGCCTTGTGCTTTCCAACACTCAAAACCAGGCATGGGCCAACTTGGGCCCTCCAGGTGTTTTGGACTTCAACTCCCACAATTCCTAAGAGCTGGAGTTGTAGTCCAAAACACCTGGAGGGAGGGCCCAAGTTGGCCCATGCTGGGTGTAGATGCCTCCTGATGGAAAAGACTAGTGTTAAGGAAAGTATTAGAATGGCATTTGGAGATGGATGGATGGAGAGATGGATGGATGGATGAAAGGCATGGAAAAGCAGGAGGGAGGGAGGGCAGTGCAAAGGGGTCAAGCGGGGAAGGGATGGCAAGCCACAAGCAGGGCTGACCTTCTGCCACATTGACGGTGAAGGGGCTCTTGGGGATCTGAGCGCCGGCGAAAGTGACGTAAATCGTGTGCGGACCCTCCAGGACGGGACGGTAGGTGCAGCGGAAGATGTTGTCCCCTTTGTCCTCCAGGACCACCTCCACCGTGTCGCGCCGGCCCTGCGGGTCCACGATCACCACCCCGACGTCGCCGGCCCCGGCCCCTAAGAGGAACAGAGACCGAGGTTCAATACCACATAGGTCACATTAACAGACTCAAGCATAACGCAATGCATTGCAAACAGGGGCATACACCCAACAGTGATGCAGGAGCAATTTAAGGAAACTGGGTTGCTGTAAGTCTTTACTGTTATGATTTTAGAGTTTTTTTAATACTAGTAGCCAGATTTAAAAACTCTAAAAGCATAACAGTAAAAACAAGGGAACTCCAGACAAGAAAGAATCAGGGACATCTAATCACCTCTTAACAAAGGATTCCCCCAGGCAGTAAGAAGCCACACCTTGAAAATGCTAGGCCATCAAATGCTGATCAAGATGCCCAATTGAAACAGTGACACCTACCTTGAACAGACAAGAGTTCTTTCTCCCGCCCTGGACATAGAATCAAGAATCATAGAGTTGGACGAGACCTCATGGGCCATTCAGGCCAAATTCTTCTAAGCTTGCTCCCTCCTCCCTATGACTTCCCCTCATATATTTATACAAGGATATCATGTCTTCTCTCAGTCTTCTCTTCTGCAGGCTAAACATGCCCAGCTCTTTAAGCCACTCCTCATAGGGCTTGTTCTCCAGACCCCTGATCCTTCTCAACAAAGGATTCCCCCAGGCAGTAAAAAGCCACACCTTGAAAATGCTAGGCCATCCAATGCTAATCAAGGTGGCCAATTGAAACGTTCACGCCTACCTCCAACAGGCAAGAGCTCTTTCTCCCACCCTGGACATTATTCCACAGATATATAAACTCAATTTTCCTAGTTTCTAACAGACCTCACAACCTCTGAGGATGCCTGCCATAGATGCAGGCGAAACGTCAGGAGAGAATGCTTCTGGAGTATGGCCAGGCAGCCCGGAAAACTTACAGCAACCCAGTGAATCCAGCCAAAAGAGTTCCAAAGAGTTGCACTGAACTGCAAATTCCTATGAAGGATACTTAGAGGAGTTTCTAGGTCCTCCAGCACAAATCTAAGGTATGCTTTCCTTGAAAGTTACCATGGAATCATACTGGAGAATCTAGCAAATTGCTAAAGAGGTTACCTCTAGGCATTTCTATGTCCACTAGTTGAAATCCATGGTATGCTTCTCCTGCAAATTACCATACAATTGTGTTGGAGGATGTAGCAAATTTCTCAAGAATTTCTAGGCCATCTAACCCAAATCCATTGCCTGCAAATCTATTGCATGCTTCCCCAAGAAATTACGACAGAGTTGCATTAGAGGACGTAGCAAATTCCTATAGAAATTTGTAGATCCTCTGGTTCAAATTGCCCACAAGATGCCATAGTGCCTCCAGTTGGAGGTCAGCTGTGACCAGCAGTGCTGCAGAATTTGAAGAGGCATGAATGGAGGGCGAAAAAGAGAAATGTGCCAAGAGGAAGGCACATCAAGCCAACCCCGACCGGGACCGCCTTCCACCTGGAAACCGATGCCCTCACTGCGGGAGAAGATGCAGATCAAGAATAAGGCTCCACAGTCACCTACGGACCCACCGCCAGGATACTACACTTGGAGGACCATCATCCTCGGACTACGAGGGATCGCCTAAGTAAGTAAGTAAGTTGGAGTTCAGTCTGCGATTGTGTTTCAGGATCAGGGTGCTTTGGATGTGGGGAATGATGTAAATGAGGTTCAAGACGGCAATGGTTTGGTCAGTGATATTGATGCAGAGAATGACAGAGAGGCACCTACTCAAAGTGTAGTTTCCCATGAGACTGTTCCTACAAGGAATAGGAATGATGGTTTACTCCCTGAATTACTCCAAGAAGAGTTCCCAGGATTTGGGGCTTGAAAACAACTCGGCACCTGCAGAAACTAATGAGCAGATAGATAGGCGGGCGGAAATTAGCCAAAACAGACAGGCCGAGCAAGGCCTTTGGCGTTCTGCCAGGCTTCAACAGAAAAAGATAAGGGCCGCTCAAGGAAAGCGAAACCAGTTTCTCAGTGCTCGGAAAGGCTTAAAAGTTCCAAGCATGGGAAATATAGTCAGATGAAGCATCATTTAGAATCCTGCTAAGTTCTTGTCCTCGTCTCATAAAAGATTCATAAAAGATTCATGCTTAAGGATTTCTTGTTTCCTGGTTTGGTTTTTGTCTCTTGTGATTACCTGCTCATGCCTTGGATCAACGTTTCCTGGTTCTTTGGATTTTGTTAGAGAGTTGTGGACTTTGTTTTTGGGCATTTCTGAACTCTACCTTGGAGTAATTTGTTCCTTCAGCATATGGACAACATCCTTCAATACGTGGACGACATACCCATAGCACACACATGGGTCAACTTGGACCCTCCCTCCAGGTGTCTTGGACTTCAACTCCCACAATCCCTTCAGTACATGGACAACATCCTCCAATATGTGGACCAGAAAGGGCCAGAGTTGGCCCATGGCTGTGCTATGAGTATGTCGTCCACATATTGAAGAATGTTATCCATGTACTGAAGGAAATCCAGAACACCTGGAGGAAGGGCCCAAGTTTCACTTAATTGGATTTACCTATTCCTTTCAAGTGTTTTTTTTTACTTTGCTGTTTTTACTTATCTTCAATAAAAGGATTGTTTTCCTATTCAATGTGTAGTGTTTTAAAGTCAGAGAGTTATTCCTGTCCTGGAGTGCAACACATAGTTCTGCTGGAGGAGTTCACAAATTCCTACCTGTTAGGAATCTCTAGATCAGTGGTTCTCAACCTTCCTAATGCCGTGACCCCTTAATTCAGTTCCTCATGTTATGGTGACCCCCAACCATAAAATTATTTTTGTTGCAACTTCATAATTGTATTTGGTATGAATAGTAATGTAAATATCTGATATGCAGGATGTATTTTCATTCACTGGACCAAATTTGGCACAAATACCCAATACACCCAAATTTGAATACTGGTGGGATTGGGGGAGAGTATTGATTTTGTCCTGTGGGAGTTGTAGTTGCTGGGATTTATAGTTCACCTACAATCAAAGAGCATTCTGAACTCCACCAACAATGGAATTGAATCAAACTTGGCACACAGAACTCCCATGACCAACAAAAAATACTGGAAGGGTTTGGTGGGCATTGACCTTGAGTTTTGGGAGTTGTAGTTCACCTACATCCACTGAGCACTGTGGACTCAAACAAATGATGGATCTGGACCAAACTTGGCATGAATTCTCAATATGCCCAAATATGAACACTGGTAGAGTTTGGGGAAAATAGACCTTGACATTTGGGAGTTGTAGTTGCTGGGATTTATAGTTCACCTACAATCAAAGAGCATTCTGAACCCCACCAATGATAGAATTGGGCCAAACTTCCCACACAGAACCTCCATGACCAACAGAAAATACTGTGTTTTCTGGTCTTTGGTGACCCCTCTGACACCCCCTCGCGACCCCTCCAGGGGTCCTGACCCCCAGGTTGAGAAACACTGCTCTAGATCCTCCAACACAAATATATAGTATGCTTTGGCAGGTAGATAATGCTGCATTAGAGAAAAGAAGCATTGTCTGTGTGAAAAATACAGTTCTAATGGTCATGTGGTCACAGCACATTCCACTGAAGGGTTAAGCAAGTGTGCAGACTCACCTGCAGTGTAGATGTCGAAGTAGGTGGGCTTGTTGGCCACGTTCCCCACCGGCTCCAGGCCTGGACCGCGGGCAGTAACCTTGTTGGCATCACCCAGCGCCATCCCCACATTGACCTCGAAGGGACTCTTGTCGATATTCTGCCCGGCAAAGAGCACCGTCACCTGCAGCCGGGAGGAAAAGAGGGGAAATGACATGGATCCGGGAGCGCTCGTTTGAACGGATAGAAATATTGATGGAAGATATATGCAGAACTTGGTCCCCTAACGCACTGTTTACTAGAAGGAGGAGACCTGTTCTAGGTATCTATTCAATTTTTTTGTTTGAAGCAAATGGGTCATAACTGGAAGGAGAATCTGCTGTTGTTTCTGAATCTCTTGGGCCCCATCTACACGGCCATGGAGAGGTGCTGTTGTTCCATTTTTCCATGCCAAAGGGCCTGTTGTCCTTGGGCGCTTTCCTGACTGAATTGCCAGCATGTCTTAATGGGCGCCTCTTCCCTCCCCTCCGAAGCAGTACCTATTGATCTACTCACATTGCTGTTTTCAAACTTTTAGATAAGCTGAAGCTCACCCCAACCCGCAGCTTGGATTGCCAACCTTCCAGTGGACAATATTTTCTGTAGCTGGTGGTTTAACCCGCTGTACTAACTGCGACCCTAGTATAATAGTTTTTCCTCTCCAGTCCTTTATAAATAGCTCTTCTTCCCCCTTCCATGATTTTACTAGTATTAATCTTGCAGGGGCCCGACTTCCGAATACTTCGTTAATGGTTTCAAAGTCTTATTTCCTGTTTCATTGGGTTGTCTTTACTTTGAAAGTAGTTGTTTTACTCCAGAAGCAGGGGCGGGGGAAGCAAAGGGAAGAAATCCATCCACTCTGGTTAAAACCGCTTCTCTTGCTTAAGACTGAAGCGGGAGGGAAAGGAAAGGAAGGGAATCCATCCACACTGGTTTAAACTGATGTGGGAGGGAAAGGAAGGGAATCCATCCACAGTGGTTTAGAACGCTTCTCTGGCTTGATTACAACTCCCAAATGTCAAGTCTATTTTCCCCAAAGTCCACCAGAGTTCACATTTGGACATATTGAATATCGGTGCCAAGTTTGGTCCACATCCATCATTGTTTGAGTCCACAGTGCTCTCTGGATTTAGGTGAACTACAACTCCCAAACTCAAGGTCAATGCCCACCAAACCCTTCCAGTATTTTCTGTTGGTCATGGGAGTTCTGTGAGCCAAGTTTGGTTCAATTCAATCATTGGTGGAGTTCAGAATGCTCCTTGATTGTAGGCGAACTATACATCCCATTAACTACAACTCCCAAATTACAAAATCAATCCCCCCTCCCTCAACCCCACTGGTATTCAAATTTGGGCATCATTGTTTGAGCCCAGTGCTCTCTAGATTTAGGTGAACTACAACTCCCAAACTCAAGGTCAATGCCCACCAAACCCTTCTAATGTTCTATCTGTTGCTCATGGGAGTCCTGTGTGTCAAGTTTGGCTCAATTCCATCATTGGTGGAGTTCAGAATGATCTTTGATTGTAGGTGAACTATAAATCCCACCAACTACAACTCCCAAATGACAAAATCAATCCCCCACCCAACCCCAGCAGTATTCAAGTTTGGCCATATGGGGTATTTGTGGCAAATTTGGTCCAGTGAATGAAAATTCATCCTGCAGATCAGATATTTACATGACGATTCCTAATAGTAGCAAAATTACAATTGTGTAGTAGCAATGAAAATAATGTTATTGTTCGGGGTCACCACAATATGAACTGTATTAAGCGGTCGCGGTATTTGGAAGGTTATAAACATAGGTCTAAATTGTATTCTAAAACATATCTGTATAATTCCTCTCACCTTGTGCAAGCCGGCCACTTTGGGGATGTAGGACACCGAATACGTCCGGTTCTTGTCGTTGTTGGCGACCACTTTGGCCTGGAGGAAGGAGGAAACGAAGAGAAGAAATTAAGATGGGCAAAAGGAAAATTGCATGACAAGGATTGGATGGGGATGGAAAGCTTCCATACCTCTTCAGTATGTCCTTCTGGGTCCTCGATGTAGACCAGGACCTCTCCCAGCCCGGCCTCAATGGTTTCCACTGTGAAATGGGCTGGTTTCAGCACCGTGTTCCCGTGCGGTTCGATACCTGCAAAGAACATCCATTGTGTGAGCCACGTATGCCAATGATATGGCCTTGCCTCACCCATTATACTGTCGAAATATAGAACTATCTCAGAGAATTGAAAGAGACCCCAAGAGCCATCCAGTACA